TTTTCTAAGCCATAAAACTTCACTGAAATCCCAAAACCCATACACTGCCCAGTACTTACATGGACAGAAAGAAAGTGACATAGAAGGTGAAAAACAAGCAAGCAAACAGCACAAGTGTTTATATTTGAATATGAAACACCAGGATTTCTAGGTAGTAACTGCTGTTTTCTAATCTCAATGTTATACTATTTTTATCATTATGGGAAGAGAAAAGCACTATTCAGAAGCCACAAAAAGTGGGGAAGACTTCTCATGATGTTGTTCCAGCTTATCAGGTTGCTTTTGGCAGTCACATCTACATAAACATGTGAGTAGGGACTGTGTCCTTGGTTTCCAAATTTAGAATATTTAACTGATACACAGTTCTCTTTTCTTATGCAAATATGAACACCTAACCTTGCCAATAAACACACAAACATTAAGATACTGGTGTGTCTATGCCTGGAAGCACCTTCTTCTCATCTCAGATCTCCTCACCTCCCCACAACAAATGCCACCAGTAAGAGAACTTATCAGATGGAGACATAACAAATCATTTGTGGAGGTTTTTTATATTAACCAACCCCCTGTCCCCCACTGGCTAATCTTGTTGAAAATACTTGCTGAGTCACTGCTACAGTGAGTCACAGTTACTGATGGTGTCATGCCCTGGTTTGTTGAGGTAGAAAAAAAGTAAAACACTGACTTAGACGAATCATCTGATTTGCTTGATTTCCATGATGCCCTGGACTATTTCCAAGAAAACAAAGTTTTTAGGTTCTGGAGAAAATATGCCTGTAAAAGTGAAACTTGAAAGGATCATGGCTGTGGGAACTAACATGGCTGTTTGAGAGATGAGGAGAAGTCCTAGTTCCTCCTGCTGGGGCAACGAGATATCTGCTCCTATATTTCTGTGTTGGAAACAAAAAAGCATGTTAACCACAAAAATGATGGTACACCTAATAGTTAAGCACAGTTGAAATAGACCTAATCACCCTGTAATTTAAGTGCAGAATGAGTTAAATAAGTCTTGTACAGGCTGGTCAAGAAATTCCATCAATCAAAAACATCATCTCTGTAGGAATTTGCATATCAGCTCTGAAATACTGACTTGAACACAAAATTTAGGAATAAACCTATTGAGCGCTTTGTACTTCCCCGATTTATCTCTGCAAGATTGACAGCAAAATGTTACATTTAAATTTAAAATTAAACATACAACTAAAATGTTTTAATTATAACGTTTATTTTCCTAAAGTAGTTATGTTTTATTGAGTAGAAATTACTTTAATAAGAACCACTTGCCTTTTTTTGAGCAATTGCAGCTCGCTGCAGTTTCTCTTTAGCTTGATTATATTTTTCTTCTCTGTCAGTCATACGTTCATGAAGCTTATGCTTTTCTTCCAACCACTGTACTTGTTTCTCTTCCAATGTCCTGTCAGAAGAATGTATGCAGAACATGGAAGTTAACTCTTAAAATTAACTACATATTATTGCAACTGTCATCAAACTTACTACCTGCTTCACCATATCCTTAAATATCCAACTGCACATATTGATGCACAGCTACATATCTGCTAATACTATCATTACTGAGTACTTCCCATGAGTCAGGCAAGTGCTTAGAACAGAATGTGTACTACATCATGTATTCTTCACAACAACCCCTTCAGTTATCTTCCCCATTTTATAGATGAGGAAACTGAGGCTTACAGCAGTTAACTAACTTGCTTAAAGACTTACACCTACTTAACACCAGGACAAACACTTGATAACCAGTTTTAAACTGTAACAACTACACCAAGCCATAAAAACTGGGCCTAATAAAACTAGTTAAAAAATTAATCCAGATATCAAGTCTTAATGCAGCATGTTTTCTGGAGAGAGTAAAATTCATATAAATGATATTTTAAGTTAACATCATAACAACATATATCTTTAAAACTCTTCTGATTTTGTATCATTACTATAGGCAATACAAATGAGATTCACAAATCCTGAAAAGTCAGATTACATGCCTAAGGTCATACAGGTTTTTAGTGTTATAGCTGGGACTGAAATTGCATTCTAATGATCCTTACTTAGTCCAGCTATTTTCTGCTTTCAAATTTTGAGTTACATTCTGAAACCAGTGATGAATTACTTAAGTTTGTCAGATATACTGTCACTGGAATTCTTAAGCATATTTCAAACACTTAAGGATTCTAAGATACAAATTTCCATTTTTTTGCAAAAATCTTAGCAATATAACTTGGAGCCTGTGGAATGTCACACCTCATTGTGGACAAATATCTTGCTTACTTCCTTTTCTTGAAATTCAGTGGCATATATGAAACCATGGACAAGTCTTACAATATAAAAAACAAAAACTGAAGGAAAAAAAGTTTTATGTGGTAAGGTATTCAGAAGAAAAAATTTGAGAAGAATGTTCTGTATAATCAAATAAAAACTTAAAATACTAACATGTAATAAAGATAAAAGCAAATATAAAATAGTAGTTTCCTACCATATCTAAGTAAAAATTTCCAGAGAATAAACAAATTTGAATATCACCAAAACCATCTCCCTGCCAGTTTACTATACTAAGTACTAACGAGTTTCAAGGCCAAAAAATATAAACAAATAAATGAGCTTTTAAAATGGAAAATCCAAGAGATCACAGTTCTAATTCTAGGAAGTAAGTTTTGCACATCAAAAAAATATTTCTGTTCTCTAGCATTCAGAAGAACAATTTAGATACTTGAAGTAAAAAAATATATTAATGGATTGGTTTATTCAGTGAATAAAGAAGTTCTTCAAAACTTACCAAAAACGACATAAGCTTTGTGCTTAGGAGCTTGGAGTTGTAAACAAACATACTCAGATGGCAGTAAGCCTGGGGGTAAAAAACAAAGCTGCTAGCTACTCCCCAGTTTTAGGAACCACTTAAAGGAAAATAACTCTAAAGGATTACGATTTCTGCCCTAGAGTTAAAATTCTGTGATTTGTTTTAAGTCTTACTGTGTAAGAAAGTTGTGACTGTTGTATGTCACTTAAAGAACCTAAAAAGTCTGTTGCACTCTTATGAATTTTATTTATATAACCATATAGCCAAAATTTTCATATAGGAGCATTCAAGTCTTTAACTTGAATAGGAAAGGGTTAAATTTCCTTTCAGCTCTAAAATTACATAAAATTTTATACTTTTTATAGTATTTTTATGTTACATATACTGTCTGCTTTTCTACTTTGATGTGAAGCTGTAAGCCTCTAGAGCAGCACCCCACACAGGACAGCTCTGGGTCATATTATTCACTGAATTGATCTTAACAATTTCCTATCATAGTCCACAGATCACATTTTAAAAGCGATATTGTTATTTACTATGTTCAAACCCACCATTTGGCAAGTAGTTCAGTAGAAAAAAAAATTCATCCTAGGTCATAATACTAATGAAAGGTTATTTTTCGGGTTTCTTAAAGTATCACCTTCTCCCCTCTTTCTGGTGTACCTATGATTAGCTGATAATCCCTCTCACCACTGGATGTCACTTTTGCTCCAAAAGAACTCAACCCAAACCAACCTCAATACATAATTAGAATCTGATCTCTAAGACACTTATCTCTAAAACCTCAACATAAAGTTTCTCTGTGAAAGATAAAACTAACTCATAATTTCAAGTGATTTTTAGCTAAGGTATGGCTTCATATATTTCTAGGCTTCCAACAGTACAGATAAGCATAAATAGGATTTCCGAGATTTTTCTAAGCCATAAAACTTCACTGAAATCCCAAAACCCATACACTGCCCAGTACTTACATGGACAGAAAGAAAGTGACATAGAAGGTGAAAAACAAGCAAGCAAACAGCACAAGTGTTTATATTTGAATATGAAACACCAGGATTTCTAGGTAGTAACTGCTGTTTTCTAATCTCAATGTTATACTATTTTTATCATTATGGGAAGAGAAAAGCACTATTCAGAAACCACAAAAAGTGGGGAAGACTTCTCATGATGTTGTTCCAGCTTATCAGGTTGCTTTTGGCAGTCACATCTACATAAACATGTGAGTAGGGACTGTGTCCTTGGTTTCCAAATTTAGAATATTTAACTGATACACAGTTCTCTTTTCTTATGCAAATATGAACACCTAACCTTGCCAATAAACACACAAACATTAAGATACTGGTGTGTCTATGCCTGGAAGCACCTTCTTCTCATCTCAGATCTCCTCACCTCCCCACAACAAATGCCACCAGTAAGAGAACTTATCAGATGGAGACACAACAAATCATTTGTGGAGGTTTTTTATATTAACCAACCCCCTGTCCCCCACTGGCTAATCTTGTTGAAAATACTTGCTGAGTCACTGCTACAGTGAGTCACAGTTACTGATGGTGTCATGCCCTGGTTTGTTGAGGTAGAAAAAAAGTAAAACACTGACTTAGACGAATCATCTGATTTGCTTGATTTCCATGATGCCCTGGACTATTTCCAAGAAAACAGTTTTTAGGTTCTGGAGAAAATATGCCTGTAAAAGTGAAACTTGAAAGGATCATGGCTGTGGGAACTAACATGGCTGTTTGAGAGATGAGGAGAAGTCCTAGTTCCTCCTGCTGGGGCAACGAGATATCTGCTCCTATATTTCTGTGTTGGAAACAAAAAAGCATGTTAACCACAAAAATGATGGTACACCTAATAGTTAAGCACAGTTGAAATAGACCTAATCACCCTGTAATTTAAGTGCAGAATGAGTTAAATAAGTCTTGTACAGGCTGGTCAAGAAATTCCATCAATCAAAAACATCATCTCCGTAGGAATTTGCATATCAGCTCTGAAATACTGACTTGAACACAAAATTTAGGAATAAACCTATTGAGCACTTTGTACTTTCCCGATTTATCTCTGCAAGGTTGACAGCAAAATGTTACATTTAAATTTAAAATTAAACATACAACTAAAATGTTTTAATTATAACGTTTATTTTCCTAAAGTAGTTATGTTTTATTGAGTAGAAATTACTTTAATAAGAACCACTTGCCTTTTTTTGAGCAATTGCAGCTCGCTGCAGTTTCTCTTTAGCTTGATTATATTTTTCTTCTCTGTCAGTCATACGTTCATGAAGCTTATGCTTTTCTTCCAACCACTGTACTTGTTTCTCTTCCAATGTCCTGTCAGAAGAATGTATGCAGAACATGGAAGTTAACTCTTAAAATTAACTACATATTATTGCAACTGTCATCAAACTTACTACCTGCTTCACCATATCCTTAAATATCCAACTGCACATATTGATGCACAGCTACATATCTGCTAATACTATCATTACTGAGTACTTCCCATGAGTCAGGCAAGTGCTTAGAACAGAATGTGTACTACATCATGTATTCTTCACAACAACCCCTTCAGTTATCTTCCCCATTTTATAGATGAGGAAACTGAGGCTTACAGCAGTTAACTAACTTGCTTAAAGACTTACACCTACTTAACACCAGGACAAACACTTGATAACCAGTTTTAAACTGTAACAACTACACCAAGCCATAAAAACTGGGCCTAATAAAACTAGTTAAAAAATTAATCCAGATATCAAGTCTTAATGCAGCATGTTTTCTGGAGAGAGTAAAATTCATATAAATGATATTTTAAGTTAACATCATAACAACATATATCTTTAAAACTCTTCTGATTTTGTATCATTACTATAGGCAATACAAATGAGATTCACAAATCCTGAAAAGTCAGATTACATGCCTAAGGTCATACAGGTTTTTAGTGTTATAGCTGGGACTGAAATTGCATTCTAATGATCCTTACTTAGTCCAGCTATTTTCTGCTTTCAAATTTTGAGTTACATTCTGAAACCAGTGATGAATTACTTAAGTTTGTCAGATATACTGTCACTGGAATTCTTAAGCATATTTCAAACACTTTAGGATTCTAAGATACAAATTTCCATTTTTTTGCAAAAATCTTAGCAATATAACTTGGAGCCTGTGGAATGTCACACCTCATTGTGGACAAATATCTTGCTTACTTCCTTTTCTTGAAATTCAGTGGCATATATGAAACCATGGACAAGTCTTACAATATAAAAAACAAAAACTGAAGGAAAAAAAGTTTTATGTGGTAAGGTATTCAGAAGAAAAAATTTGAGAAGAATGTTCTGTATAATCAAATAAAAACTTAAAATACTAACATGTAATAAAGATAAAAGCAAATATAAAATAGTAGTTTCCTACCATATCTAAGTAAAAATTTCCAGAGAATAAACAATTTTGAATATCACCAAAACCATCTCCCTGCCAGTTTACTATACTAAGTACTAACGAGTTTCAAGGCCAAAAAATATAAACAAATAAATGAGCTTTTCAAATGGAAAATCCAAGAGATCACAGTTCTAATTCTAGGAAGTAAGTTTTGCACATCCAAAAAATATTTCTGTTCTCTAGCATTCAGAAGAACAATTTAGATACTTGAAGTAAAAAAATATATTAATGGATTGGTTTATTCAGTGAATAAAGAAGTTCTTCAAGGGTACTCAGAATTCTGTGGTCAGGCAGAATTTTCTCTTCTTCCCTAAAAAGGCTTTTTTTTTAACAAGAGTCCATAGCGCTCATTTTCTAGAAAGTACATTTCCTAAGACCACTATACACTGCCCAAGGGTATTTGTAACCAGTTCCCAAAACACACTCAACATTGGGATCATCATTAAAAGGACTATATATAATACAGCAGAAAGAAGAGACAGTTTGTACATAAAAAAGAACAAACTCTACTTTTCAATTTCTAGTTGCACTTTCTCAGCTTGGCTTCTTAAATTGCGGCATTCTTGTTTTAACCTCTCCACCATTTCCTTCAGTATTTGGTTTGAATTCAACAAATCATTCTCTGACTGTGCAAGTGAGGTCACTTGGATCTGCAAACCACTGATTTGCTTAAAAGACAAGAAAAGAAACATAAGGCCACTAAACAAATGCAACAAAGTATGAGAGAGGCAGAGGATACTAAGCATCATTCCTCACCAATACCTCACCCAGCTGATGTGCCCTTGAGGACACCATGAAATGAAATAATAAACAGCAGCATTAGCGTCTATAAACAAAGGATCACTTCTTACTGTGACCAGAAACTATCAAGAACCATATTCCTCAGTCTGCCAGTGAGTCCACTCCCCTCTTCCAAAAGTAAACAAAAAACAGGCAGAAGATGTTTTGGGAGTGGGAAGGATTATTAGGGGAGCAGGAAAGTGAGAAGAGGAGAGGCCAACTATTAGAGAGTCTCCTATTGGACTTCAGTCTCCTCTAACCTCCTGGGAAAGGACAGGTTTCAAAAGCTGCTTGGCTGGGAAAGCTGCTAAGGAAATCGGTTCTCCCATGCCCATGTACCCTGTGATTAGCAACCGTTCTAGGAGTTCTGCTTTCTGAATAGTCAGGAATCACAAATACAGGATGGATCACTCTTACATTTCTTTAAGTGGTTTCTAAGCATTCTACACATCCAGCACTGGGCAAAGGAAAGATGCTCTGAGAAATCCAACAAATGCCAGAGATCCCTTGGCCTACAGAGCCATTCATCCAACCATGAAATGTCACTCAGGCTTCTTCTCCATCCCAATTTACCTTTAATCTGGAAGTACTTCTCATGAAAAGTAGCTAATTATCTAGTTACAGATTAACAGGCTATGAAGATTCCCATTGCTTTTAAATTATATCCAAATAATCTTCATTTGGGACACAGCTACATCTACTTCCCCCACAAGGCATTTTAGCAATTAATAAACAAAT